TGAGTGTTCCCTTAAATGCTGACTCCGGGACTTGAACAAGGGGCCCCACCCTCTCATTGGCCGAGAGGGACTTCCGGTTATTGGTTGGACCATAATCGGGTTGTTCATTAGAGGAGTAGTGGTGTTTAAGGAGTAAGATGTAACTCTGGGGTAAAACGGTAATTTGACCCAACTTGAGTTACGAACACTCGTGAAGGATTGACTCGTCATTAATGGTCATATATCCACGGACACGAAAACTTTCTGCACTGAGAAGAGTGCAACTGCGGGTCTTTAGTGGAATGTCCCGTAGTTAATGAATCTAGATTAACTCGACCAATGAGTTTGACCGATTAATCTTGCATCGTTGGAGCTTCGAATCTGTAGGTTCATTAGGTCCCCTTGCTAGCTCATAACGGGTAAAACGAGGATCAAGTTTTTGGAAGAATTTGAATTGTTCAAATTACTTAAGGGATTATATGTATATTGATACATTATAATATATAGTTAATTGTAAATTAAAACTATATATTATGAGAGATATTATTTGAATGAGATTTAAATAAAATTAATATGAATAAGATTCATATTAAAACTATAGGTTAAAAATAATGTGCATAGGATGTACATTAGAACTATAGGTTATACGAGAGAAATGTTATAGAATATGATTCTATTTTTGTGATAAATAATTAAGTGTTAATTATTTATTTGATTTATATATATATATTAATTATTAATTGGATTAATAATTAATAATTATTTATTAATTAATATGATGAATTAATAAATTAATTTTATATTTTAATTATTATATATATATATACTATATATATATTAATTATTTATATAAATATATATATATTATTCATATTATTCATATTAATAATATTAAACTCCCCTGCAAAATTGCAGGGGAGTGGGAGGTTAGTGTCCCCACGTCACTGCTTTTGTTTTTTGGCAGTTCTGCAAAAGTTACAGAACACAAAACAAAGGTGTGGAATTCCCAGATCTCTCTGAAGGAAAAGCTCTCTCTCTCAAAATTCTCCCTTACGTTCCAAATTGACGCTCCCACAAGCACGATCCTGAAACCTAAGAGGATAGCCAGGAAGACATAGTGGTGGTGTTCGAGGGCAACTTACTGAAGAAACGTTCTTCAAAGGTTTGTTTTTCCCCTGTATTTTCCTTCTTTAAAATTCGATTTTGTATCCCGAAAATCAATAACGAAAATCCGTTTCCGCTCCGGGATTAACATCCCTTCATGTTTGACACCATAGCACCGTAGTCGTGCGGTAATTGCTTTCAGGGCAGTGGCTTCGTCCACGACACAACAAGACAATCGTTTTTCATCTAAATTCACCTTTTATTTCCAACAACATTTACATGTACATAATGAAACAAAGAAGCCTATAGATCAATTACTTGCATTCATAGTTCTCTGACATCCTGAAGTTTGTACAAGACCTAACGAAAAAAAAAATACCTAATTAGATAAATCAATAAGCAAGAAATAGATAAAAGAAAAAAAACTCACTTCTAAATGCATCCCATAAGGTATTGTAGGTAGGGGTGTTCACGGTTCAATTCGGTTTAGTTTGAGGATCGAACCAAAATCGAAACAGATTTAAAAAAAAAAATTCCAGAACCAAACGGAATCGAAGTACATGGCTAATGGTTCGGTTCGGTTCGATTCTTGTGGTTTGGCCTCTAGGTCTGCTACTGTGGGCCTGGGCTTCTGGGATTAGGATCTCCAATTTGTTTATGTGTTGTTTGTTTTTTTTTTCTTATTTTGTTAATTATGATAGATTTGTACATTTATTTTTAATTTTTTTAGGTAATAGTTTAATAATTATTAATTTCAAAATTCATTACTTCTAAAAGGTTTAAATATTTAATATAAAATGTAGATATTTTATTTCAAACAAATATGTTTCAATTCCAACATTAAATGTTAAAAGTACAATTTCAATCCTAACATTCATTCAAATTTAAAAATACAATCGACGAGTTCTGAATAAGTCGCTAGCCACAAGTTCTAAATTA